AAAATTAGAAGAGTAATTAATAGCCCAAATTCAGGGATCATTTAAAGTGTTAACAAGATAACTGACATTTATATAGTGTTTTTAAAGTTTACAAAATTATTTACATATATTATTTCATATGCTAGGTCACAATAATATTGTGAAGTAGGTACTACAGACATTTTAATACCCATCTTAATGATGGGGAAAAGGCAACTAAAAGAAGTTGTGACTTGCTCAGGGCAGACAATGGCTAATTTAACTGAAAATTGTCCAAATTAAAGTTTCATTTCAGATACTGGATATCCAGTACTGATAATACATTGAACTTTCTATCCAATAAAAATTTCTTTCCTTAAAAAAAAATGGAAGGAGAGAGGAAAAGGGCATGTAACATGTTGACTACTCTACTAGTAACTCTTATGACCCAGGCACACAAACAGAAAAATATTTTACCTGTATCTATTAAGGCAGAGACTTTTGGAAGTGGCACTCACAAGGCTGCCAAGTGTGAACCATTAAAAAGAAAAATCCACTCACCAACAACCAGGACTTTAAAAACAAATCAGCAGACTTGCATTTAAGTCAATTAGCAAATATGAAAAATTCCTGAGCACTATCACTGTGCTGTAAGATGACAATGTACAAAGCTGCCACTCCTCTGGAAAGATCCAAGAAAGATGGAAGTTAGGGACCTTAGAAATCATCTAATCCAAATTCACATTTTAAACATGAATGTAAATAGAGTCTCAGAGAAGCTAAATGACTGCTTCAGAAAAAGTATCTTAACTTAACAAAATCCAGTTAGAATGTTTTGGACAGCCAGTTAAAGCAACAATAGAAAAATAATTCAATTGCTTTCATCACTTGTCCAGAGAGGAGTAAGAATAAAAAGTGCATACTCGGGGAAAGAACTAAATTTTTATGTTCTCCAGTGCCTAACACAGTATATTATATCTAGTAGGTGATACCTTCTTAACTGTCCTTTGCTGGATCACTTCAACACCACCACCACCACCACCACTATGTCCAGCCCTCTAAATGTGGGAGCAGACCAAAGCAATGCCCAGGGTGCTTTTCTCTCTCCACACCCTCTCTCTCCCAGTGATTTCATCAACTCTCTAGGGCTCAATTATGATCTCTATGCAGATGATGCTCAAGATCTACATACTAAGCCCTAAATGTCTTTCCTCAGCTTCAGTCCCATATCACCTGCTGCCTACTGTACATTTCCCACAGGATGCCCTAGTACATAATTCATCTAAAAGCAGCATGTCCAAAACAGAACTGTCTTTCCTCCCTTAACACCGCTCTTCCAAACATCTCTATTTCCAAACACCTCTATGTACCATCCTTCTAGTCACCCAGGTAAGCAACTCCAGATTTGTCCTCAACTCTTCATTCTCCCTTATTCCCCACATCTAATTAATTGCCAATCAATTCTACCTCTACAACACCTCTACAATCTTTCTCTCAATTCGCATGGCCACCACTTGTTTAAACTCTTTTTACATCATCCTAGACTGTGACAAGAATCTCATCTATCTCCGCACCTCCAGTCTCTACTTGCCATTGTTCATATTATTCCATCGTTCACATATTGGCCAAAGTGCTATTTGATAAGCACAGCTTTCACTATACCTCACTCCTGTTTATAAAGTTCCAATGGGGCTCCCTATTACTTCTAGGATAAAATACAAACTCCTGTTTGTAACCTTTAAAAATCTGCTTTCATTCTACCTGTCTAGTAAGTATATTATACATGACTCCTCTTTATGCACTCTTACCTTCCAGTCAAACTGGGTTCCTTGCTGTCCCACATACATAATGTGGGATTACAGATCTAGAGCAGAGGTTACCTAGTCCAACCCATTTTACAGATGAGAAATACGAAGTCTGGGGAGGCTAAATGTCTTGCTGGAGGTCACAATAACTGTAAGAGTGAAGAACCCAGGGTTTCTGACTTCAGAGCCAGAACTCTTTCCACTATCAGCCTCCTATTTCTTCAAGTGTCTTCAAGAAAGTTGCTTCCCACCCCCCTGCCTGGAATGTACTTCCTTTTAAGCTCCAACTCTGAAAATTCCTAGCCCTCTTAAAAGCTCAAGTGCTGGCTCCTACAAGAGAAGTTTCCTGACATCCTTAACTCCCCAAATTACTGTTTACTATGTCTATACTGCATATTTACTTATGTGTACTTGGTATTTCCCTCGATCAAACATAAGCTCCTTGAAGGAAGACGCAATTTTGATTCTCTGTTTATATCTACTGTACCTATACTGAGTAGGTGCTTTCATACTTACTGACTGTCCAACAACACTCAGGTTATATTAGGAGCAGATCCAGGATTCAAACCCAGGTCTTCTAATTTCAAATTCAATGTTCCTTCTACTATATTACACTGACCTTTCAAGTGAATATAAGATTGTATAGCCCTTTCCATTATATTGTATATAGTCATAACGATTATGTGATCATTTTATAAGAGACAAAGTTTTACTTCCACAGATCAATAGACATTGTATAGTTGATCCCAAGAGCTGAAAACTTAAAACTTTTACACATACACAACTAAACTCAAAGTAAATAGGTCAAACTGACAGTGTCTAATAATTTTAAGGTTGAATTCTGACAATTCACTATCTCCAGCTACTCCTTAACCAGACGTAATTTAGCTATATGGACATGAAACATTACTGTACAGATGCACCAACCACCACACTAAAAAGCTAAAGAGAAAGTGAATTTTACATTCCCTCTAACAGAAACCCTGCCTTAATAAATGTTAGTTTTAGTTTTTCAAAATACTTTTAACAATATTTGGCTTTCTCCCTACAGGAGACAAAGTCACTTCCATCCCTAAGGATGACAAAAGCAGTCTGTTCTGCTTCAAAGAATTTAAGAGCCTAGAGTTCTCTCCTTCACTGGGCTATTGTAAATAACTTATAATTTCAGAACTAGAGGATAAAGAAAACAAACTTTTCAGAAATGGAAAAAAAAACCTACAAATACAAGTAAATTTAGTCTAAAGTTGTGAAACTTCTTGAAAAATACTGAAATGTGACATTCTGTTTTTAATATTCAAAAGCTAGCTAACAAAAACAAAAAATTCCAGAGAAATCATGATCCACTTAGTATCAGCCTAAAGTGAGCTCAAGATCAAATGTTTAATGGGAAAAAAAAGTTGTAATTTACCTTAAACTGTAGAATAAATTCAGTAAAATGGTTAATTGGAAGCAATTAGCTTTAGCATTTATAGGCTCATAGGATTAAAAGCTGGAAGTCATATTAAAAAATGCTATAAATCTCCACTGATCAGAGAAATGCAAATTAAAACAACTCTGAGGTACCAACTTACACCTATCCAAGTGGCTAATATGACAAAAAAGGAAATGTTGGATGTTGGAGGGGATGTGGGAAAACTAGGACATTAATGTAATACTGGGTTGGTAGAGTTGTGAACTGACCCAACTGTTCTGGAGAGCAATATGGAACTACCCCCAAAAGACAACCAAACTGTGCATACCTTTGATACTGCAATACCAATGCTAAATCTATATCCCAAAGACATGCAAGAAAAGAGAAAAGGACCTATTTGTACAAAAATATTTACAGCAGCTCTTTTTGAAGTGGCTAAGAATGGGAAATAAAAGTGACGCCCATTAATTGGGGAATGGCTAAACAAACTGTTGTATATGACTGTAATGGAATATTATTGTGCCATAAAAAATGACAAGCAGGATAATTTCAGAAAAATCTGGAAAGACTTCCTTAACTGATGCACAGTGAATCAAACTGAACCAGGTGAACAGTTGTACACAGTAACAGCAATATTGCTCGATGAAGAACTGTGAATGACTTAGCTATTCTCAACAATATAGTGATCCAAGACAATCCCAAAAGACTAATGATGAAGCATATCTGTCTCCTGAGAAAGTACTGATATCGACTGAATAGACTGAAGCATGCTGTTCTTCACTTTCTTTCATTTTTTCTTTTATTCGAGTTGTCTTCCACAAAATGACTTTATGTGGAAATGTTTTGCATAACTGAACCTATATCTATAACCTGTATCTGATTGTTTACCATCTTAGGGAGGGGGAAGGGGAGGGAAGGAGAGAGAGGGATAAAATTTGGAACTCAATACTTCAAATGAAAATGTTAAAAAAAATTGGAGAGAAAAAAAGATAGCAGTGGATAGGAGAGGTGCTTCCACGGCTCCCCAAGGATGACCAGGACCAAGTTTTCAAACCAGTACATGCAAAATCAGAACACTGCGGGAGCGTGGCTTATGAAGCGGAAGTTGTCCTCCTTTAGCATCCACTTTGAAAGATTTTGAATGGATACAGCCCAACGAAGCTCCAGCCGGCAACATCAACAGGCAAGCTCCCTGGACCCCGTGTCTCCTGCTTGGGCCTTGGTGAGTGTGAGCGTGTGTGGACGTGGGCATACAGACTCACTCTCTCACACACAGACCAAGCGCGCGCCCTTCCCCCACGACCTCTCCGCGTCGCGGCGGCCTCCACCGAGGATCCCACCCCACCCCCGGCCCATACCGGGGCCCACGCGCCGCCTTCCCTTTCTGGACTCGGCCTCGGTCCGCCCGGACAGGCCCAATCCTCTCTCCCACGGCCCCCAGCTCCTTGGTCCTCCGGAGATGCGGCCGGGGGTGGGGGAGGTGGGGGGAAATCCCCGGGCCTGGATCCCGCCACGAGGCTCCCCGATCCCCCCGGCAGGCCTTGCTTTCCTGGCTCCGAAAGGCCTGGGGAGGAGAAGGAGGTGAAGAAAAGTCGTGCCAGGCCCTCCGGCACCCCCGGCTGGGGCTGGGCCTGGTATTGGCGCCGCCACCCGCGGGGGTCCCGGGAGAGGAAAGCCTCCCCCGGGCTGCCTGCCACAGGCCCGAGATCCGAAAGAAAATAGCGGTGATCCCCGGCCCGGCCTGGTCCAGCCGAGACCTCGCCTCCGCCCGCCCCGACATCAACAAAGCCCGGCGCTCCCTCCCGCCGCGGGCCGGCCTCGCTTACCCATCGGTCCCCGCACGTTTCTTGCCAGAGGGATAATCCTCCCCTAGGTCCAACCGGTGCCGCTTGGACATGGCCGCGCTGGCACAGCAGCGATGGAAGAAGAAATTTAAAAAGGCGAGAGAGGGAACGAGATGAGGGGCGACCGGCGGCAACAGGGACAAGGGCGATCCTTCGTTCGGGGCCCCCCCCCCACCTACAACAGCCTCCGCCGTGCGGCCAGGACCAGAAGGTAAAATGGCGGCGGCGGCAAGGACCGGGCCTGCGCGCGCGCCTCCGTCGCGTGCGTGCGTGCCTTGGTACGCGCGCGCGCCGCGCCGCTCCTCGCCGTTTCTCACTCGCTCATTCGTCCAACCGCCCGCCGTACAACCCCTCCCGCCTTTTGCTGGGAAAAGGAGAGGAGGGGGAGGGGCAAGAAATCGCCCGCCCTCTAGGCTTGTCGTGATGGAGCACGTAACGCGAAAAGGCTGCTGGGAAGATTACCTCGGTGTCACCTCCACCCTGTCTAAGCGAGAAGGGAAATCTTGGAGAAGTCGCGGGAGGGTCTGGGGGCAGACCCACGTGTTGTGGAAAGTTTGGCTGAATGAAAGGACGGGGCTGCCCAGACACCAAAAGGTGGAGTCCCTCTCTCAGGCTCGCGTGCCACATCGTTGCCAGCTGGAGGAGCGTGGGAAAGGACTCTTTCCCCTGTGCCTGCATTTCCTCATTAGATACTGAACCGCAGAACCTCGGGATTGGAAGCGACCGGCCATGCGCTGGGCGATGGGCCAACTCACACCTGAACTGGAAGACCTCAGCAAAGCAGACTTTAAGGGAGGGGGAACTCATCACCTCCAGGGGCAACCCATTCCATTTTTAGTCAAAGGATATGAACAAACACTTCCCAAAAGAAAAAAAAAATTAAAATAGTCATTAAGCGTGAACAAATGCTCCAAATCACTATTGACAAATGAGAGTCAACTTCACACCCAGCAAATAGCCAAAGTTGGCAAAAGATGGAAATAGTTATTGTTGGAAGTATGGTGGGAAAACAGGCATACTAATAATACATAGTGATTGGAGCTGCGGTTCAACCGTTCTGGAAAGAGACTTAGAATTTTGAAGGGACTAAAGTGTCCATATCCTTTAATCCACAGATCCCAGGGCTAATCGCTGAGAACTATTCCCAGGAAGTCAAAGATAGAAAGTATCCCTATATGTAAAAATGTTTGCATCAGCATTTATAACTACAAAAAACAAAAACAAAATTTGAAACAAAGTGGGCTTCTGCAGGTTGGGAAATAAATTGTGGTTGTCAATACAATGAAATATTGCTTTGCTCTAAGAAACAATTTATGTGAAGAATACAGAGACACATTGGAAGCTTTTAAATAAACTGATAGAAAATGAAGTAAGCAGAACCAAGAAAATAACACACACAAATTGAAATAGCTACATGGTCTAGGGGATAGAGAGTCAGGAAAACCTAAATACAGATCTTGTCTCAGACACAAATACTTGTGCGATCCTGGGCCAGTCACTTAACGTCTCTCAGCTTCAGTTTTCTCAACTGTAAAATGGGGATAATAATAATAAACATCCTACATAGTTGTGAGGCTCAAATGAGGTAGTATGTGTAAAATGTTTTGCAAAAAATTTGAAGGATTATATATTTGTACATAGCTTTTATTATTATTGTAGCAATATAAATGGAAAGAATGATAGGAAAAATTGAAAATGAATGCTGTGTGAGTATAATAACCAAGTTTGACTCCCAAAGAGGAGATAAAAAAATGCATTTTCCTTCATTGGAGAGTTGGTAGACTATAGGTATAGAATATTAATTACTTGGTTAATCAAGCCTTTATTAAGGGCTTAATCTGTGGCATTGTGGTAAGTGCCAGGGATGCAAAGAAAAAGCAAAAAAGAAAAATAGTCCTTATCTCAAGGAGCTTATATTCCAAATACATTCCATATAGTATCAGACTCATTTAACGTGGTGGTTTTGGAGAACTGGTTTTTTTTTTCCTTTTGTAACAAAGGATGACTTTCTGAGTAGGGGAGGGGACAGGGATATATTTAAAAATGAAGGTGATCTAAAAATAAAAGATAATTTTTAAAAAGTAAATCTCTTTTTAAAAGGGGAGAGTTACTGGAGTAGAGCTTTAGACCTGGAAATAAGGTGTAAAATCAAAAATCATTCATAACTCTTAAAAGCACAAATAAAGCCATTATGAATGTTAAAAGAAAAAAAGACTTAGGACAAAAAGCCAGTTTTATGCCTCAAGGCTGTTTTTGAGCAAAAGTTTAGAAGAAAGATTGTGATAACCCTAGTGTGTCCCATCAGATTGGTCCCAGATTTGAACTATTCTCTGCTCTGAAGAACATTAAAATAAAGTGGAAAAGAGCACTTTCATCCAGCTCATCCATAAGAATTGTAGGAGAGACTCTGTGAAGTGCTCTACAGAAATCTAAATTTTATGTAAGTATTTTCCTGATTTGCCAGTCTAGTAATCCTGTCAAAAAAGGAAATGAAGCTACTCTGGCATGGCCTGTTCTTGATGGAGCCATGCTGGTTGTTCTCTTTCCTTTAATTCTGTCTCAAATGAATTCTTCCTATATTATAGCTTCTATCTATGTTATCTAGCATGGTAGATACACAGTTTTCTCCCACTCTTTTTGCATTAAAGTGTTTTAAAAAGAATATTACTAGCCTAATACTGTCTACCCTGACCTGAAGGCCAAATATGTTATATCCCACCCTCCCCCAGAGTTGTACAATACCCTTAAAGGGTGTAGGGTATTTGGGCCCTTGGCTAATGGCTCTAGCCCCCACAGATGGTGTTTTTGCAAGTGTAGTGAGTGATCCCCTACATCCCAGTTCTATTTAGCTACATATCAGTCACATTTGCCTTTATAAGGGAATATTTACTTTAAAAGTATAATAACAAATATACATATCCTCCAACAGGTAGAACGTAAAAGCCCACCCCACTTTTCATCACCTCATATTCTGGGATGGGGAAGATGATTAGATTCATAGCTTAGCTCAGTTCCTGTAAAGCACAGTCCAGTTCCAAGTCCAAACCTGCTTCAGCCTCAAGTTCCAGCCACCCTGGCTTCTCAGATTTTCCATACTGGGCTGGCTGGCTACAATTTCTCATCTGGACTCCTGGCTCCAAGGTAACTATGGCTTGAACACTCACACTAGTGGGGATCACCACTGGCACCTGAAACTAAGAAGGACAAATGACACAGAACAGAGACCTCAGGCCTATTTCTTGGAGCCAGGGTAAAAGGAGAGTATATCCTCTTCCCAGTTAAGTTCATTGTGTCCAGATCTTTGGTGAACTGGACCCTCTGGACACAGCAGGAAACGGTGAGCTATTAAGAGAGACTCTCTGTCTGGCTAGTTTTAAAGATGTAGCCTTTTCTGGCCACATAGCCAGTAAAAGGAGGCTACACCCACTGACGTGGTAGGAAAACACAGGAGGCAGGGTGCTTCCATGCTAGGCAATCTAAGTATGACCAGGGCAAGCCCCTTATACTAGCAATTTCGGGGCCCAAAGCAAGCTTCACAAAGTGTGCCTTCAAATTAGCTTTTTGAAAACAAATTCTGTTGGGGGATGGAGAAGGGCTGCAAGACAAAAGACTCTGTAATGGTAGATACCCTGAACATTGACAATTCCACTGTAGAGGCTGCTGGGTCAGGGAGTGAAGAGCAGTATACTGGTCATTTGACGGTTTCCTATTTTAACTTACTTCCTGCTAGATAGATATTAAACCCAGTTGTTTCTATGCTTCCGAGTGAAGGTAAGTGCTGTCAGCTCCTTCTAAATTTATGGTTTGATCATTCCCATTTATAGCTCTCCTGGAAGCAAAAACTGGACAACCACCTGTCAGGTATTGCTGCGCAGGGGACTCCTGTTCATGTATGCTTTTAGACAAGATCACTTCTGAGGTCACTGAGAAGTCTGAGATTCTATGATTTCTTGAAATTTGTTATAATTTGTTTTGTTTCTATCAATTACTAGAGCTAGATGGAAAGTGGAAACAGCACTAAGGAAAACCAAGTTGGGAAAAGCAGTGATACCTTGTAATTCAAGAATGAATAGATGAGGTTCAAATTGGAGGTAACACAATTTTGAGAGCATTGAGGAATGATTAATTCTCAAGATATCTGAAAGAGGGGAAAATGTCAAACAGGGGGAGGAGATATGATTACCAAGAATAGATAACTAAGAAAAATATCAATAACTGCTGACCTAGATGCCTACTTTTCATCTCTACAAAATCTTCCTGAGCATAATCTGCATATACCTCAAGGGGATCCTTGGTGAGGTTATGAGAAGTGAACAGGCAGACCATCTTTTTACAATTGCACAATTGATTGAAAGGCCCTGCTTTCAGTCAAGATCCTACTGGGTTTATTGTTTGTTGACTGTTAAAAAAAATCGTGATTCTATAGAGTAAAATGTTGTCTTAAAGGCTTTCATCCAACAGGGTGTGTATTTCCTGCATCTGTCAAATTCACACAGGATTCCTTGAAAAATGTAACAAAAGAGATAACTGTGTTTCTAAACCCTCTGATTATCAATATCCAGCAAGACATAAAATAAGGAGACATATACTTAGCAAATGTTTTTGCCACTGTCATGGTGTATACCCAGTGTATAATCCAAATGGTGGAGGATTTCCTTATGGATGATTAAGTATCCTGTGTTCTCTTGATAGCATCAAGCCCTAGCACTCTGCTGAGCCTCCTTTGTAAGATCCATAATTAAGAGAATTCGGCCTAAGTCTCCACACAGGAAAGACCAAATGTCTGATGAATGCTTATTATCCAGTCTCTATATACAGTTGTGTGGTTAACCATAGGGCTATGTTATCAATACATATATCTTGGACAGACACTATATGGATGGAAGATGAATGGGGCCCAGAACTGAGTGGGAGGAGGAAGAGAGCATGCTTGATCACATTTGGGAAACTGCTTTTAATGACCCCCAAACTCCTCACCTGAAATACTAACACCTGTTGTATTTTTGCTGTACTTCTGTTGTTGCTTTATGACTGTAATTCATGAAATATCAAGGTTGCTAAAGAATTAAAGTTGAGGCTTCCCCGAAAGACAATAGAGAAGTGTGTGGTGAATAGGCTACAACACATTTCCAACTTAGAACCAATGAAGAAGTTCAGGAGAAACAGCACTTATGTTTGACTAGAAAAGAAAATGTACAGATTGTGTAGTAAGAGGCAGAGATAACAACCA